CGTGTTGCCCCGCACCTTAGGGTCGTGACCCGTGGCTACCATTGTAGCTGGAGCATAACGCGTACGTGTACGCAACTGGCCTCTGGCCTTGAGCTTGGCATACTCGAACTGGAGCTTCCGTTCCATACGAACGTCAGCCACATCAGCGCTGGCCCGCAGCGCTGGCACACTTCTAAGATGCCGCTTGCGGTACACCCAACGAATGAACTCATTGTCCTCCTCCTCGGGCAGTTCGCCAGCGAACAACAAGATTGGCACACCCTTTGTCGGTCGAACCGAAACACCACGAGAGAGACTCTCAAGGTGTGCCAGGTACTGACCTTGCGTGGTAAAGAATGGTTCGAGATACCTCTCATGTAGAACCTTACGGAATGCAATGTCTTCCGGCGACGTAGCCTCTGGTGCAATTGCCCATGTTGCGAGGCTACGGCCTTCCGTTTGACGGAGACGTCGCTCCACGTCAGGTGTTGCAAACACGTAACCACTCCGGTTTCGAACAACCGCCTGGGTATGCGATCGGCGTCGAGCTCTCTCCCCACGCTGACGGATCAGCTCCTGTTGTTCGTCGAGCGGGTTCGTGATGATGTTCTCACCTTCATCTGTTGTATGATGCTGCGCCACTGGCGCGGTGGTATCAACACGTTCAACGAACGGATTCGGTGCTGTTAGAGGACGAGCCTCAGGTACAGCGGATTGGGATGATATCCCGTCATCTCCATGGACACTGGTATCACTACCATAGTCCACATCCTCGTCGAAGTCGAGGTAAGATGAAAGAGCCCGAGACTCGTTGGGTGGCAATGTCATGGAGTTTCGTGTTTAGCAACCGCGAGGTTAAGCACACACACACACCAACCTCTTCGAGGAAAGAAGCCTATTGAAGTTTTGTGGTAACGTCAGTCTGATGGGGGAGGGTGTAACGGGGTTACACGTCGGCTGGTAGTCGACGATAGGTGTGGTGCACACAAGAGAGGGGGTACCCTATAAAGTAATTTTAGAACACAGTGAGTGTATCAATTGTTGGAGACTGATGTCTGTCATCAATTGATTACGAGATCTTTTATGAGGTTATTTAGGGCAGGTTAAATACGTTGTTCTACGGTGTTCGTTTAGGTTCGATAAAGAAATAAAAATTCAGTTCCCTTTTTGATCACTGAAAGACAGTTGCCTTACGAGGCGTCTTTGATCGGTAGGAGCTATCGATACCTGTGAAGGTAGCTACTCCTAAGCACTCTGTGCTGTGATTCTTTTGAATCGTTTGGTCCCTTAGGAACGGGGACCGTAAGCTCTCTGAGCTTTTTGTCTCTCTGAGTCGGGTTCGTAGAACCAAAGTTGCTCGTAAGAGCGTCAAGTCTTCCTCCGACTTAAGGAGCTGTGCAGCTCCGCTACATTACTCGTCAGCGTTTACTTGTAGCCGCTCTTGTACCTTTATATCGCCTTTCGAAGTCCCTTAGACCAGCCAATACTTGTTTCCTCGTGAGTGAGCTCCGCATAAGATCCAACTGTCCCACTTACGCCAATCATCTCCAGCACTCAGTCTTCCGTCACGCATATCTTGCTTCACACTTAATAATCATCGCCTGTCCAGACCGGCGGAGCGCTCACGTTCTTGGGCTCAGGACCTTGTGACAATTCCAGGTGCTACAGAGTGCTTTTGAAGCCGATATTTTTATTTTCAGACTGGTTTTATTCTTTATCTTTTATCAGCTAGTGAACCTACGTGGCGGCCGTGCTGGACCTCCCCATTATGTCGTGCAGCTTTCACGATCTTCGGTTGATTGGTGTGACCATCTAAATGGCATAAGCAAAGGACTTCGATGACGGCACTAGACTCATATACCTCTTGAAGAAATGTTCATACGGTCTAAAGTAGTCGGGAAGGATGTATTATTACACTTTGCACGCTCGATTGGTAACACAACGATTTCAACGGTGCGCATTTGCTGTATCGTTGTAATATATCTATGTTGTAGAACAGATTATTCTTGTTACTGTGTATTTTGATGATAAGCTGATTATAGAGGGTTCAAGCAGCATCGATGTAGTAACAGACTTACGTACACGTTTTGTTTCGTAGGATATGTGACGCGTGTTGTATCATTTCTATATGGAGGTATTGTACAAGCCTGGTGTGGTGTAGGGAATTTACAAGCATGGTATTTCCTACTTTTGACTTGATTATAGAAGAAGTGAACCCGACGAGAGAAGCTGAAGCTCATCGAAGTCGACGAAATAAGACTCGACGAGAAACGACAAGACGAGGCAAGACCTGACGAGTGAATACTCGACGAGCCAAGACTCGATGAGGGGTCGAGATGATATTTGGTCCATCCCACTAGGTACTAGTATAGGACGACGAGGGGGATGAAGGACAACCACTCAGGCGTCCTTACCAATCAGGAAGAGAATAAGAGATAATTAATACAGAGCAGAATTTTCCGAGTCCAAGACACGTGTACGCTTTTGAGGGAAGTCCTTGCGTGGGACGTATTATTCCTGATGTCGAGTCTCGAGGCACATAGCTTGTAAAGGTCTCGATTGGAAGTGCCAAGTGTAAAGTCGGCTCGGGTTAGGCATTACTCGATTCCAGCGAAAGACAAGGCTCGTCGCACTGCGAGCCAGTGAACCAGTAGACGGCACTGCTTAATGGCTCGTCGCACGGCGAGCCGGTTACCCAATAGACGATACCGCTTAAGTCTCGTCACACGTCGAGACGGTGACCCAATAGACGATACCGCTTTGAAGTCTCGTCGCACTGCGAGCCAGTGCCTTTCTTGATGGCACTCTCCAAAGACTCGTCAAGCGACTAGCCGGTGGGTCTTTAACCAAGGACATTGTAAGTCTTCCAGTCAAGCGAATACTGCGCTCGGTGGATCTAAAAGCGTGAAAACGCCGAAATCTACCCATTAATACGAGGCCACAGGATTAGAGGAACGAAACCTGCTGAGCTCAGGCAGTCTTCTGGAAAGAAATATGAGTATTTGGAGGTATTTAGCTAGTCGAGAGCTACAACTGAACCCAAAGGGGCGCCCCAAGAAGGGGATTCAATTGACGTACAAGCCCAAATGCTTCGACTAGCTCGGCGATTGTTGTGTTGTTACGTTGAGACTGTATTGATCTGACTAACTACTATACCACACTGGTGCGAACCTGTGTCAGTCTCAAACTGCGCACATTTATCGCACGGTGCGACGATTTGGGATCAAGCAATTCATGACCTGAGGATCGTCACAATATAAAATCGAAAAAATGGTGGCAAAAGCGATGGACATTGCCAATACTAGTGACCTGACTTACCAACCCGTCAGTTGGTTCGTAAAATGTAGTTTCTAATAACATGTAACGGGACGGGTATCGCCGACGAAGTACGAATTCTGTGTCGGCACACATATGTTTATACGACAGACTGTTACTACATAGAAAGGCGCGTCTGGTTCTCTATCTCAAGGGAACAAGAACGTTCGATTTCCATTTTTTCGAGGAGAAGGTGTACAAAAAGTAAACCGAAGGTGTGGCATACACTTATGCTGGCCACGCAAATTGTCCGGATTGCCCGGAAACCTCTCGGTCAGTAACTACTTTGTTGCTCAACTAACCTAAAGGCGGTTAGGGATGATACATATAAGTCGAATCGAGTTTGATGCTAGCATGTTCGTCGGGCAATTTATAGTGGCTTGAAATTCAATTGCAGAGCAAATCTTAAATCAAGAATATGGTGAATTGCGTACGGATAAATAAAGCACTCTTACGATCTGTTCCAATGTCGGCAACAATGACGGAGCGATCTGGTTCGCAAACTTGCAAGGATGGTAAAGGGAAGGATTCGGCGATCAAGAATGTCACTATCGAGGACAACACCGCAGACATCGTCAACAAAGGTCTCGGACCACAACGGTGTTGAATGTGAGATAGCTAGTTGGCGTGATAAGTGTACTTGATATTATTGCGAATTGAGACGTGTAAAGACACAAAGCGTGAGTTTTGGGGAAGTATGAGCAGTTACTATAATTTTATGAACGAAAGAAGCCCACGTTTCTGTCGGACTGTCTGGACCCGACTGAAGAGACCGGAGTGGACTGCGTGACTTCAAGTCTTGTGCGACCCTTGTTGAATGATGTTTGATGATTCATGGGGTCGGCAGAAGCCATGACGATACCAGGGGGTCGTCCCTGAACGCATCCCTCTTCGTAATCCAAGCACGTTAAGTACATGTATGCGATATTAACAATGGATTTCACACTGCTTTTTGCCACTTTCTGCGCACGATATCCTTTTTGTAGCCAATGGGTGCTATCTAGAACAGCGCTAAAGCTGTTTATGCCGACGTACGGTAGACCAACTCGTGATCACCCACTGGACTCATCATTTACGAGTATTCAAGAAAATGGCGGACGCACTGGCGAAAATATCAGTGGATACGTCTACAAGTGTTTAGTCAATGGGCGTAGGACCTGCCTGTGCTGCAAAAAACTTGTACCATAGTTCTTACGCTTCGGAACGGGACCTCGAGCACTAAAGAGACAATCATACGGATAGGAAAGCAACGTTTCGGGCCTCTACTCACGGTGGCGCACCCTCCATGTGCGTATCTGTAGGTACTTAAGTATTACAACTCATCACTGGATGATGATGAAAAGGCATCCAGGGACCGGGTATTTTCTCGATCGTTGGAAGTAGCTAAATGACTGTTATGGACCCTCGCTTGAGAACAAGCCGGTGGTGATTCACTTGCACAAATATGCCAACTTTCTTTCCTTGAGATAAAAGAACAAGTAATGACTTGATCATCTCGTGCAGCAGCGACTTTTGAGCTGTATGTTCCGCGAGCTCTATGTATCGGTGTATCCCACGGCCTCTACTACATGGATACACCCGAATCGAAAAACGAGAACGAACCAGTGTATCCAATGGAAACAAAGCATCGTCACAGGTCCATACAATCAGCACCTAAACTTCAGTAGCGACTACAAAACGTCGTAACCCAATCGTTCATTACTGCCATGCCAGGAAGCCCGACTTCGAATCATGTGCAAGTTCTCCGGGATCTGACGCTCGCTGATGAGCACCTCGTACGCAACTGAAGATGAATGAATGATTGCAGTGGGACTGTTTGACAGGTCGAACTCGTTTCGATGTGTGTCTTTTTTCTCGATGCTCGCAAGATGATCTGCTTCTGTGGATGGAACAGGGAGTCGGACGTTGATACGCAAGTGCTGCTGAAGGCGGTTGAGAAGATCGTGCGCATAAAGTTGCAAATGGGGGACCAAGTGCGTGGCGTGACGCTTTTGCGCTATCGAGACGCACGGAAGGAGGTGTCGTTTGCTGACCCTTCTTTTCTCGGTTGCAGCACCGGATCAGCCTTGCTCGCGAACAAGGATCAACACTTGTGGTCGAGCAAGAGGTATCTATGATTCAGTCAAGAGCGCCACGTGCGAGCGTGAGTACACAGACAGAGCAAGTGACGGTGTGATGACTACGCTTCGTTCTACAGTTTACAAGAAACGTCGCTGCGCTGCTAGCAGCTGTCCCAACAGTCCTGGGCTCAGCTAGTCACGGGGATATGGTGGACTTGGAAGCGCTTCTAGCTGATGCTGCTCGCTACTTTAGTGCACAGCGAGACATGGTTGGAGCAAGTATTGGGCGTTGCAATGGTGATGGCAGGTTGCTGATATCATCGTCCTTGCACTCGAGATAACAGGAGCGCAAAGCTACGTCGTCCTTTCGTCTGCTGCTGGTCTATAGACAGTCAACACAGGTATGTAGACACCGGTCTATCTGTGTCGATGCCTCGTGTGTAACAACGCGTATGTTTCGTGTGCACATCAGCAGAGACCGCAGCTTCACGTCGCTCAGCAAGAGGAACCAAATCAGTTTATCACTGACCCTGTCTTTCATCTGGACGTCATCTACTGGCATCGAGATGTCCCGCTTGAATTGGCTCAGGTACGTCATCGGCGCCACATTCTATTGCTAAAAGGATGGTGGAAGAGCCTGAGTATGCTGCTGTTCTTCTTAGCACGTGTTTGACGAGCTCTGCTCGTATGACAACGCAAACCCGTTGGCCAAGTTCTACTTCCTCGAAGTCGGTGGATCAGTCGAGCGATTGCACCAGGTACGACTATTCTTTTATTGTATGATTATGGTGCACATTGGAAATCGGCTGCGGTGAATATGGGAAGCGTGACTGCCTTATTGCTACTGGATGGCCAGGCACTCGTACTGATGCTGTCGCATCCGGCACATCGATTGAGCCAAAGTGCGGCCGAGCAGCTGCTGAGCTCGCGGTTCTCACCGAGCAAAACGATCGATTCTCTAGGGCAGCAGGATTAAATAAATGGCTGGTCTGCTGGTAGTCATACGGAAAGACCTCGTCTGTCGCCGTCCGCAAGACCGATGCCGAGCCCAAGCGCTTTGCAATGTTGCGGAGGCCGTCACGCTCTAGCTTACGGAATGTCGGCAAAAAAGTCCGAGACGCCTTCGTTGTCATCCAGATTGAAGTAGAAATCTGGATCGGTCTGTTCACAGCCGTGGACATAACGTACGGAACGTGCAAGTGTTAACATACTGAGGCCAGTGTTCGAGATGTGCACTGTAGATGCAGGTGTCTCGTTACCTTTAACGGAGCGAGTTTGAAGATCCCGATGTCTGAGTCGTATGATCTCTGCTGTGAAAAGAACAAGATCGCACTCACGGGCATTAGAGTCGTCAGGTAACACTTTCGCTCCTCTACGCATTGCACGAGCAACAACACGACACACCTGATCCAATGGAGGCGCAGGGCTATCATGAGCTGCGAACTCTCCAGTTTCCTTTACTGATGTATCGGCAACCTCTGCCTCTTTGTCGTCGTCCATTCGTCGAACCAAATACACATCAACGGGCCCATCTGCAACGGACAGCGATGTTCAATGCGCACGACCACAGCTGAAAACACAGGTCACACATTGTAGCTCTCCTACCTGTAGATTTGAGAAAGACCTGGAATCGGCGTTTTCCAGCGGGCATACCCTCGTCAGGGTCAGGAACTTCCAGCGTTGTTCCTGGCGGGGCCTTGATCGCCATCACGCTCTGGTCTGCAAAGCTCTCTTGCCGTCGCATGTCGTCGTGCGTGACATAACAAAAGTTATCGAAACTACCTTTGTCGAACGCTTCTTCTTCATACAGACGCCGGATACTCTGACTGACCATTTTAATATGCTGGTCATAGTTGAGCTCTTCTTGCCTCAGATCAGAAATACTTTGTCGAAGGTGATCGATTCCTTGAAAGCTATCTGCTGCCTGTGTAGGTCTGCTAACACCCCTGTAGAACAGCAACCACCAGCCAACGCGTGAGCATTACGATCCAAAAGCTTCGCCAGTGCTCCATTAAGACGTTGCAGAAATCCAGTTCACGCACTTCCAGTGAATATTGTTCTTGGACGTTTTTTCAATGAGCCCAATGCCCTCCAACACATTTGTGATATCATAGATCCGTCGTTTCTGTCAAGAGACAGCGTACAAAAGCACACAAAAACAATATGAAACATGCCCGTTAGCGCGATCGCATCGCATCAACTGTGTCGCAAATAGCTGCAGACATATACATATATACCTGAACCCCAAGCGATTCCGCGGCAGTGTTCAGATCCAAATCCTTCGATGGCGCCGATTGAATGAGCTCGACAAACCGCTTGGTCAGCAATCCCAAGGAATTGTCGTACCGACTCGCTGACGACGGCTTCGATCCCGCTGCAACGAGCGTGTGCATACACCGAACACAAGTCAGACACAAAACGCAGCGCAAACAACTCCCAGTCAATACAGCGTATGTCATTCGTGACAAAAGCGGACGAACGTCGAGCATGGGGACTTGGCGACTGCAACGTGGACGGTGTCACTGCAGACGCAAAAGAGGCGGCCGGTGCAGTCGGCGCCTCGGGGCAAGCGACGGGTGTTGACGTCGTCTCGTGCCGTGACTTGGACCGCTTCATCGTCCGCTTGAGCTCTTCACGTGCGAGTTCGCCCGCCTGGGCCATCCCGTGTCGTGCGTTGTCCGCCTCTTGGCTACAAGATCCGCTGGGGCTGGCGCCGGTGCTGGTGCAAACGATTGTTTGTTTCCGTATTCTGCAGCATTGCTCGCTGTCTGACCTATCAGACAGCATACCGCGCGACCCCCGTGGTCGGTTCGGTATGCCGATGCACAGGAAGAGGATCAACCGCCCCACACACGTGCCACCTCACCCGAGCACTCGAACACATGGGCGCCTCAAGCAGCACCGCAGTCGCCGCGGCGGAAGCAAAGGACCTGGACGATGAGATGGTGCTGAATGGTGCGTGCTACTCGTGACGACATCGGCGGCAGCGTAGTGTCGATCTCGTAGTCTTGTGCGTTGGTATCGTCGGTTTGCTCATAGAGGGAGCGGGCTGTGTTTTTGTATGGTCGGACAGAGCTCCACATCGAGACGGGCGACCAGGCTGCGGTCAAGAACATGCTGGACGACACGGTGGTGGAGTTTTTCAAGGGGAAAACGGAATACGAGCTGCACTATGGATGGGACAATGCCAAGCTGTTGCTCATGCTGCTGGCGACGGTGCTGGCGGCCATGTCGCACTTTTCCAAGCACCCGAGTATTCCCGAGCACGTCATCATTTACTCTTGCGTGGTTGGGTGAGTGCACAAACTGTCGCGAGCTGGCAGTCGGTAGCCTCGTGTAGCTTGTCGCACGGGACGCTCACCCGTGATTATTCTTCGGTGGCTGTTGTGGTGTATTGCTGTCCAGCTTTTTCTTTATCCAGGGGCTCTTGACCATCTACGCCACTTTCATTGAGAAGGACATTCTGTTGCGGATGACGCGAACGGTACGGACTGGCTCGCTGTAGCGTGCATGTCGAGACGGGTTGTTGATTGGTTGATTGGTGGATTGGATGCAGGACTTGGCAGGCAAGACCGTGCTCGTGCGGACGGCGTTCCCGTACACGGAATCGCACTATACCGTCAGCATTCACTTTGCCGATACGTCGGGCAAGCAGAAAAAGGAGGAGTTGTACGTTGGGCGTTACTTCGACAAGGACGGCTACTTCGACAAAGAGAGCTTCATGAAGGACATTGCGGCCGTTTCGTCACGCTTTGAGACGAAGGACAAGCAGCAGTAAGCAGGCGAGCAGCTGGATCCGTTGCAATGCCAAGGCGATTAGATGTCCGCTTCGGGATTCTTGTAGGCTACCATAGCCTCGACCTTGTGCACCTGCATCGTATGGGGGACGTGGCTTAGTGACTAAAAGCATGCTGAACAATCTTGACTGCATTCGCACCTTTGTGGAAAACGACCGCAAGCGCACTTCCGCCGAGTCTTTGATGTAGCGAGGGTCCGACTCTTCCCACATGGGCGGCACCTCAGAGTTCTTGTCCGTGTACACCAACAGATCAAACGCACACTGCTCTTCCAAAAGAGGTAAGAACGACACACTCGCTGTGATCTGCCGGATGATTGCTTGGATCTCAGCCATGATCTCCTTCTTGGACTTGGACATAGTCGCACTACGATTTCGTACACGTAGCACACCGATGTTGGTGACACAACTTTCGACAAGCACAGGAAGCACATGCACATGGCACACGCACCTGCCGCTCGTGCCGCCATTCTCCGCATGGACTTCGAACGCCCATCGCTCGACGACTTCCTGCGTCTCGATCCCAGTGATGACCAGCACCAGCTTCTGCACTTCGCCTTTCAAGAGCCAACCTGCATGCGTCCATTCACTTTGCACGTGAGCACACGCTGCAAGACAACAACAGATTCAGCAAGGCAGGCAGACGTACTTGACAGCTGCTGGAGGAAGTTGGCGAAGAAGTCGTTGAGTTTCTCGTCGTCCGTCACCAGCATATTCAGCCCATACTTCTGAGTCTGCTTGAAGCTTTCGGCTGGGTATATGCCACGCTGGTACAAAATGCTACAAGTCATCAGACGAAACAAGCAATTGACTTGATCATTGTACCACAAACAGCCAGCCAGTCGATCAAATACGGTCGAAAAGCGGTCCCTACGTGTTGATACTGTACGAGAAGAACTCGGTAACGATCTCCGTTGAACCCTTGATGGTAATGACGTTCTCCGATACCTGTGCTGTCGCCTACATCAGCGGTTACAAAGCTCGCAATACGTTAACGCGGCAGCTGCACCAATGTTGACAAACCGCTTGCTGTCGATCATCGTACCATCTGGTACTTGTGATCACTGCGTGACGCTGAAACTAAATGCGCGTCTGCGGGTGCGAAAGTGTCCCTCTACAATCTGATCACGACAAAAACGATGTACCCATCGCGTGGACCGAGGTTGCACTTGAGACCATCACTCCTTGACCACCCTTGCCCTCGTGGTCAAAGTTGCAATCGAGACCATCACTCCTCGATTGCTTTTTCGCTCGTGGTCAAAGTTGCACCTGAGACCATCACTCCGTCCTTGTCACTTCACACATTGCGCAAAACACTCGGCACCACCATGCAACAAGCTCAAGCCCAGGTAAGCTGCTGCAACGGAAGCTGCACGAAAGCCGATATGTACCTAACTGTCTTTCTTTCCGGTGTGTGCATCGATACATCTTACCGCGATCGTATGAAGCAGCAACAAGAAGAGCACGAGCTGTCGGACGCGAGCGATGTTGAAGTGGACGACGAGGAGCTCGTTTTCATGTCAATGCTCTACGATCGGGGCGCATTGGGCGTCGCCATCTACAACGCACAGACGACAAGTCTCAAGATGCTGCAGCTCCAGATCCACGATGCACAGGAGCTCGAGCAGGTGACGCCAGAGTCGTGTGTGGCTGTGTCTCTGCGTGAGAACCCAACGACTGAGCGTGCTGAAACGCCGCGTATTGCTAGATCCTGGACCGGCTCCACACGCAGTTTGCAGTGCACCATGTGCTGGTTTCGTCTCGGAACGCGAGTTCGAACGGAATGCTCCGTATGATCAAGAGCCTCGACGAGCAGCACCAGACAAAGACAGGGATCAGCATCCGAAAGGTAAGGTCTGACGGGCCTGTGGTGGTGCGTAAAGGTCCTTCCGACGGCTCACTTGGGGTTCTGTAGCATTCCGGTGAGTCGCTTTTGCGCAGGTACCATTTGTGGAGTCCAAGCTGCTTCGTCAAGACGTCTGACCGCTTTGAAAGCAGATTTTAGCTACCTGAAAGGCACTCAAGCCATTGAGCATGTCCAGATTGGGGACGCTCCCGCGGAGTTGCAAAAGTCTCATACGCGCTCGTCGAGGTACGTGTGTTGCCTATTAGTAATGGAAGACTGCTCGCGAGTGATTTGAACTGTTGTCGTACAGACGAGACGTCTACACGTTTCTAGGAAGCTTTTTTGATTTCGAAAGCACGCAGCTGATCCGTGCTACGGGCGGTAGGATGTACATCGCTCACGTTGGTGTGACATTTCAGTCTTAACGCTCCTTGTGCAGCTTTACTGCAGTATTTGTCGGTCGAGAAGGTACGCAGCGTCGGTCGCGAACCGAGGATGTTTTGGCATTTACGCTCATTACCCGCTCGCCATCGCGTAGATTGGGAATCAGTTGGATGATGTGAAATCCGTGTATTTTTCGACGGTCGATCAAGTTGCACTTGATGGTTTCATGTACATTGACAAGACGACGCTGCAGTCGCTTCAGATATTCAATCATGTAAGCAGAGTTCGAGGCAAGGTGCGAAGTGGCTGTACTCATCTCAGTCTGTTGCGCTATATAGGAAGCCCATCCTTCACTGGTCAAGGTACGATGTGGCATGCACGTCGGGATCTGTCGCGCCCATTCTTACAATGATTGCACAGGGATCAGGCCGAGCGAAGGAAGGCTTCAGGTGCTGTTTCGATGCCTGACCTACTTCCTTCTCTCAATCCTGCTCATTGGTCGTTCGTTGCAGCCTCTTCGGACTTCTCAATCGCACTGTGACTAAATCTGGCAGCTGCATGTTGCGCCGTTGGATGCTAACTCCACTAGTAAGCAGTGTCCAACTCGACGAGCGACATAGATCTGTCGCATTTTTCACGAGTGCTGAGAACGATGAGCTTCGGCAACTGCTGGTAATGCCTTGCACACATGCGCATTGTCATCTTCATCAGGGTCTAACATGACATAGTATGGAAAGCTGAGATATTTCAGAGACGTGGCTGGGATATTCCAGCGCGTGAAGAAGCGCTGTGCTTCCGTGGGTGATTGGTGTCGTTTCGCCGCCTCCATTACGACATTTCTAGAAGCACAGTGAGCATTGATGTAGTCAACTTTGGTTGACAATGCTGCGGCTAATCATCGCTTATTCGCTCACGACAGATTCCTTATCGAAGACATCAGTAGATCCGGCGACTCGTCGTTACCTAGCCTGTTTTCAAGGGTACTCAGAGAGCGTGGCGTTGTCCACATTAGTAATCTGCTGGGAAATGTCGTGGACTTCATCGAGAGTCAGCAAGAAAACACCGTGGTTATCCGGAGTGGTGTGTCGGAAGCACTGGATGCCGCTCGAGAACGCTATGAAGATCTTGACAATGTCCGACGTTGAACACTTGTGAAGAACCTGTCACGTACACTGACTCTCACACATATGCATGAGCAGATTCTAGCAGAGGTTGCGTTTCAGGTCCAAGAGGCAAATCCGATTCTGTCATCAATCACCGTCCAGTACATTCCTCAAGTCGGGTATGTCATCTGCTGCGAATCGCCCACGACGCTACCAGACTTCGTGTTCCAGTTCCAGGAAGATGACACGACATTCTATTACAAGGTATGCAGCCTAAGTAGAAGACACCACAATCGATAGTTTGTTTTGAAGTGCTGATGATTGTGTTTGCATCAGGACTCTAGTTGCCGGGACTTAGACGAGTCAATAGGGGACATCTACGGTGCGAAGATACCGACAGCATTGTCGCATTCTTTTGTCTGCTGACATTTTCTGCATATTTGTGGATACAGGCTACCTACTCGACACACAAAGAGGTGCGACGCCTCTTTGTATGATGGAGCCTGGCGCTCGAATACCAAGATTTTGTGCTCTTGCAGAACTCCTGGAAGAGTTGACGGTGGCATTACTGGAGTACGAGGGCAGCATACATGGTTCGTTTCCGTGCGAACGATTGTACATGTGTGCACCAGAGACTGAAAGTGCTGTGATGGATAGAAATGACGTGGATCATGTCGTATCTGGATTGCTTGATTTCGTTTGCATCCTGTGCAAAAAGCTTCAATTTTACCCGGTACGGTGTGAAACAGTATCAGGCTCCAAGGTCATCCACTCTCATCCTACTTCTGATGTCAGTCCTCAGATAAACGAAGGTACCACCTTCAAGGCGACTCAAGCGCGCCACCCTCTCCAAGAGCTTCTAGTAGAGCACTACATTCCCAACGACGTCTTTTTGGATTCCACTCAATCGCTGAAAATTGTGACCGGACAAAATGGATCGGGTGAGTGAACGGCTTTTGCCGGCGTACGACCTCAGCTGCATACATGGACTTCGAACATCACTTGACGAGAACCTTGTACTATCGAACAGGGAAATCTGTGTATCTGAAAATGGTCGGCATCATACAATACATGGCTCAAATCGGATCCTTTGTGCCAGCGGACACCGGTACGCATTTTGGACAGTCCTTGCTTGAACGCGTGACTCTCATGGTGTGTTGCAGCGGAGATTGGACTGGTCGCAAAAATCTTCACTAGGATTCAGAGGTAAGAGCAGCTGTTTACTGCATAACTATACGCACAGAGGAACTTACCGTTGTTTATTACAAGCATGGAATCTGTGACAGTGTCGCAGAGTTCGTTTACAATTGACTGCAATCAGGTACAGCACGGTAGACAGCTTTACTTTGATGGACGGGTACCCACCTTCTTCTTCTAGATGGCATGGATGCTCAACCACGGAGACGATCGCTCGTTGTTCTTGGTCGATGAATTTGGAAAAGGTATAGCAATTGCGATCCAAAGTATTCTCGATAATGCGCAACGTCTGATCTCGTTTTCTTGCATGTAGGCACGGCCGAGCTCGATGGAATCGCCCTGCTCGTATGTGCCTTATTCTAACAAATCGCAGCTATCGGTACTCACTGTCTTCTTGCCGCTCGAGTAGAGCTCAGTCATCAACTACCTTGCCAGATGTAATGTGACGACTGGAAGACCTCGGGTTGTGGTGACGACTCATTTTCTGGTACTCTTCGAGCATTACTTGTTTTGTTGCAATTACGCTGACCCCTGGATTCAGGATATTTTCCGCAAAAACCTGCTTGAGTCGTCATTGTCCATTGACCAGGCACTATCGGAAAAAGATGAAACGCAATCTGGAACCTCGTCTGACACGGGTCATGTAGTTTGTACCGTCATGGCGTCGACCGATGCGCCAGAAGCGTATTCGTCAACGTCAAGCTCTGTCCCACTTTTTGAGCTGCGTTGCGGTGTCTCAACTCACAGCAATGCACTAGCATGTGCTGCAAAGTGCGGTAAGTGTGTCAGACCCTCGCGACAATAATGGTTACCGGTTTCTAAAGCGATATCTACCACAGGAATACCACATGCGTTGGTCGAACGGGCGCAAGAAGTGCTAGATTGCAGTAAACGCGGGTTGCCCATTTCGTCTCGGCAACAGACGGCAGGACCGTCACCCGAGGAACAGCTTGCTGTATTCTTCGCATCGATTGACGACTGGGAAGACGCGGAAGATGAAACTATCGCCAAATTCTTAGCAATTGCGCGAATGGGTATGCAATAACGCGGTGACCTTTGATTTTCACTTTGAAGTATACTACTTGTGTGGCCGCAAGCGAGCAATTTACACGGCATGACGAGGTACGACTTCAGAGCACATGAGCATTTCCATTGCCATTAGCCAGTGCATGCTTCAACATCCGCACTGAGAAGATCTTCAAGCAATTGTTTGTCCGCGTCAAAGGCGTCAGGAGATACGTCAGAAAAATCGTCCGGTGGCGGTACGTCATCAAGCGCAGGGTATTGTTCGTCGATCTCTCCTTGCAACTCATCGTCCTCCTGCTCCTTTGACCACCATGAAGAAGAGGGCTCTCCACTTTCCAGCATTGCTCGCTCATCGCTCCAGTCATCAATGTCTGGCGCAGCATCAAAGTCATCAAACAGAGTCGGGGTCTTGTCGTTGATGATGTCGCGTATGATCTCATCGTGCACGTCCTTCGAGTACGCCAACCCTGACTTAAATGGCGACACACCGCCGTATGCAACCTCAATTTCCTGCAAAAGTGGCACATGTCAAGCACACAATAAGTGGGCATAAATGTTCATACGATGGCACACATCAATGGATCACCAACCGGCGCTTCGTCCGCACGCGGTGGCTTAGTCTCTGTCTTCAGCTTAAGCGGCGTGACGCCCTTCGTTTTCAATGGAGTCTTGGCCTTCGTTTGCACTGGGGTCTTGGCCTTCGTTTGCAGTGGGGTCTTGGCCTTCGTTTGCAGTGGGGTTTTCGCCTTCTTACTGCTCTCACGTTTCGTTGGCTTTCCCGGATCTTTCGCTGGTGCATTCTTTTTCGCCGACGCACTTCCACCGGAGAAATGATATGTCTGATAATCCTGTCGTTTGTTCGAGATGTCGTCCAGCACACGTCTGCTGTATAGAGAGGATCGACACGTGTAGTCAGCATTGACCAAGACGGCGGTGATTGATACGGATCATCGAAAGCCAACCTCTTACTGGATGACCGCTCTTGCAGCCCCTTCTTTCCAGCGAACGCGGAGTCGTCGTGGACCACAAACGCACGTCGCGGAGTCCGGAAGTTGTCCTGGCCTGAAGGTACGGCATTTGACAGTTAGGCGACGACCACAAGGTGAAAGACACTAGCGATGGGCAACATGGATCGTCGTACGTACCAGCAGTCTTCAACTTGCTCACATCACTGCTGGCGTTCGAGTCCACATTCTCTTTCTGCGCGTGCACTGTGTTCATCATTGTCGTGGCTTCTTTCTGTCTTACAATTGCAAGCCGAGAGCGAAAGAAAAATCGGTGCAATAAAATGCAACAGAGAATCGATGCTGGGGGAGATAATATGCTGTAAAGTCCGTGTAATTTATTTTACGTCGTCACAAAATCGGAGATTCTGGCTGGTGGCCAAAGCCGAAACGTCGACAAGCTCTGACGTGATATGACCGATTGTAGTTCGTCATACGGGGCAACTAGTCACAACGAAAGAACGTCCGGCACGAGACCAGCTGACATAGGCTTCACCAACAACATGGCGCGCGCAAACCCCTTGGTATGGGCCGATCACTCAATCGGTGTCTCATCCCCTCAAACCTAGACCTAGCACTCTGCGCGTCACGCCTTTTGTCAATCATAGCTTTTGTTTTGTAAAGGAGAAGCTGGTCACGTCGGTCTTTGCCTTGTTCGCAGCCTACCTTTCACACATGCGTCTTTACAGACTTTGCACCTTTGTTCTACCATATTATCTTGAACGCCGTCCTTACACATCGAACGCTTTTCAGGCTGATTTGTTGAGTTCGATCCTTGTTCGTAGCAGGTTGGGAGTATTTGCAAGCACAATTGCAATTGTGTGAGGAACGTGTACGTGCAGCTCATTCAGATGCCTCGACAGGTGTATTATACGCTATGGAGCACCCTGTGACACGCGCTGGAGAACGAAGTAAGCGATATATTGATGGTGAGTGCTCCTACCGCTTTCTCGTTCTCTCAGCATCTCGCACATGCGTTACTATCATCTTGGCATGGTGGCCCCTTCACGTTTTAGCCAAGACGCAAGTATGTTATACGACGCATTAATCTGCGCAGTCTGGACAGCTTTTCATTCGTTTAACTGCTTTAATATGTAATTTGATTTTGCTGTCAGTGTCTGCAAAGCTTTTCGTCAGCCACGGTACACGACCGAGTCGCTGAGCGTGTTCGGCACGAGTCCAACTTCCAGGGAAGTAGGATCAATCTATCTCAAACCGTACTTGGCTTGTGTGAAGAAAGTTTCCCAATGATCTGTGTGTTGATCTCGATGCTGGCTGTGCTATCTTGATTGATGGGATTCGCAAAGTGTCGCGTAAATGAGCAAGAGGCATAACCTGTTACCACTTTTCTTGAAAAATATAACTGAGCCCAATCAGCTTTCTTTTCGATCAAGAATCGAATGAATCGGAATAGAGCGCGGTCGATAAATTTCGCATGCCCTCCTATTTGACCCCCGCGTTCAGAAACGCTGCAAGTATCTCGGAAGTACCGGTAGCTGACAGTATTAGCTGTCAAAGTCGGCACGAATCCTTTTCCTACCAACTTTTCACCTCTTGTCTCGTAGATTACAAAACTGACAGTCTGCTTTCAATCTCAACTGCTTCGACGTATGATCGACATGTCGTTATTGCCGCACATCAGCACATCTCGCGTCTAAAAGCAGAAGAACGAGCCCACTAGCAACTCATCACCTTAAACGCAGCGCACGACCGCGTTGCGTCGATTGTAGCACATGTGAAGGTCACCAATCAACAAGTCCAATGCAAAGGAACACAAGAATCAGCGCAAACGGCGGTTTCTCCGTTCACGAAGCGCGCTCTAGCAAGTTCTCGTCTGTCGTCTATCGGCACTCTCAGCAGCAACAGCGTCGTCTCCTTCGGCTTTCCACCCACCCATTCACTCTCTCGCGCGCGCTCTCACTGTCTGTCATCCATTAGCGGCGCGGATCGTAGTGCCCTTTCATCATCCGGATCACGTGAAAGTTCAGCGTCGACCGGTGTGCAGCCGCGCGTCGCTTCCGCTTTTCGTCCAGCACGAGCATCATGTGCCGCGCCTCGCGTTTGCACTGGGTCTCATCAAAGTCGTTGCGCTCCAGTGCATCGAGGAACGACAGTGTCTCGGGCTGTCCCTCGGTGTTCTCGCGCACGGTGCGCAGCGTCATGCGCTTGATGTGCTCAATGTTAATGCCGCGGCCGAGCTTCATCGTCGAGAATCACGGACGGAATGACGAAAAAACAGACCCACTCGGTGGCTGGCGGGCACGCGTTTCTAAACTCGCGCACCAGTTTTGTGGCACTCGTTTCTATCGTCATGGACGCGACGGTCACAAATAATGCGGGCCATGTAGTTTACCACCAGTCAGTCTTTCGAGTCGCTGGAGCCGTCGCGTGTGGGCATTTGGTCGGTCGGTCGGTCGGTCAGTCGGTCCTTCTCAAAGCGATCCTGTTCCAGAGCTCGTCGGTCGAATGGATCCCGTGGAGCAGTCCAAGTCGCCCAGCGATCAGAAGCAGTACCGCCTTCTGACGCTCTCGAACTCGCTGCAGGTGCTGCTCATCTCCACGGCCCAAGTCGCGCACGTCGCGGCTGCTATCGCCCGCGAGAGCGAGAGCCAGCACGAGGACGACCACGACCCGAGCTCAAGCAGCGACTATAGCGACGACGAGGGCGACGGCAATGACGACGACGACGACGACAGCGACGATCAAAGCGGCTTTGGGGATGCAGGTGACGCGCACGACGGGGCACCTCAACGTCGTGCGGGTGCGTGTCTCACGGTCGGTGTTGGCAGCTTTGCCGAGCCGAAAGCGTTGCCTGGTCTGGCCCACTACCTCGAGCACATGGTCTTTATGGGGAGCCAAAAGTACCCGAACGAGAACGCATTCGAGTCCTTCTTGAGCGCTCATGGCGGCTACAGCAACGGTGCAACGGACAATGAAGTGACGAGCTATACATTTGAAGTCGGTCCAGCCCACCTGGCGCCGGCGCTGGACATGTTTGCACACTTTTTCATCTCGCCGTTGCTGAAGAGAGACGCCATGGAGCGAGAACTGTCAGCAATCGAGTCGGAGTTTAGCCAAGCGACGCAGAACGACCGGATTCGCACGCAGGTTGGATATGGGCTACTTTTTGCTGCTCCTGGCGCCGTCTTTTTTCTGCTCGGGTGATTCTATGTGGAGCTGCTAATGCTTGTGTATGTACTTGTTGCTGGTCGTGTGCAGCAAATTTTGTGCGACGTGTCACCTGCGGATCATCCGTACCACCGCTTTAGTTGGGGAAACCGAAAAAGCCTACACGAACTGCCGAAAACGACGGGAACTGATGTGCGCAAACACATATTAGAGTTTTACGAAACGTACTATTCGGCCAACATCATGAAACTCGTCGTGTGCGGCGAGAACGAGCTGGACGAGCTGGAGCAGTGGGTGAACAAGTCGTTTAGTGCGATACCGAACAAGCACGTAACGGTGCCGTCTTTCGACGCAGCAGGTCCACCGTTTGGAGCGAAACGAGCTGGCGCGCCGTTTTTGTGTAAGATTATCCCTGTCCGAGATATCCACACGCTCCATCTCGACTGGATGATCCCACCAGTCCTTGGGCAGCATCATCAAAAGCCCGCGGACTACTTGGCTAGCCTCCTGGGGCATGAAAGCGAGGGATCCGTGCTATCGCATGTACGTGAAGCTCGTTGCTTGCTTCGTATCGTGAACTCAAATGTCTGCTGTGCGATACTCACAGTGTGTTGGCGTCGATGTTGCAGCTGAAGGAGAAGGGCTGGATTTCTGCAGTAACAGCAGGTGTGACCGACACAGACGGTTACGACAGTGGCACGTACGCTGCAAAGTTCGACATCACTATGAAGCTAACACTAGAAGGCATTGCACATTGGGAGGAAATCGTGCACGCAGTTTTTGAGTACCTACACATGCTGAAGGTAAACGGCTGTCCGGAGTGGGTGTTTGACGAGCTGGCAGCGCTGGCCGACATTTCTTTCCGCTTTCAAGAAGACGAAAGCGCGGTCGAGCGATGCGAAGAACTGGGTGAAATCATGCAGGTACGTACGCACGATGTGTACATTGTGCTTCATCTGTCATTTGGTGCTTTTTCATCTTTTGCTGACCCCATCACTCGGTGTTCCAGTCAATGTTCAAAGTCGCACCGGAAGACATCTTGCGTTATGACCTTTTCAAGGGCGTCTTCGAGGCAAAACTCGTCGAGGACATCATACACCACTTGACTGCTGACACCGTTTGTGTGTCAATCGTGTCACAAACGTTCGAGCAATCTCCTGCATTCCAGGCGCAGGTAAGAGTGGTCTTCGTTGTCGCTCTGTTCTGCTTATACTGAGTGCTAAGTGATTCTATTGGAACTTGACACTATTGGGACAACAGGCAGTCACGGAAGAATGGTTTGATGTACGGTATACGAAAGAGGATATTGCAGACGCCATTATCCAGCACTGGGGTAGCGCAGAAATGAACCCCAAGCTGTACTTGCCTCGGCCGAACCTGTTCATTCCGCGCGACTTCTCGCTCATCGACACGACAGGAGCCGAGGACCTCGTGTGCGAAACGACGACGTTTGGCAAACTATGGTACAAGCCGGATCGTGTGTTCGGTACACCTCGCACCCACGTTGCGCTGTTGCTGCACTTGCCAAGTGTGGTGGCCAACGTCGACAGTTGGGTCCACACCCAGTTGTACGTCAAGCTCGTTCGAGATGCGCTGAATGAGTATGCATACCTTGCAACAGTAGCTGAGCTCATGTATTCTCTCCAAGTGAAGGATTCTGGGCTGGAATTGGTCTTTGGCGGTTTTAATGATAAGCTACACCTTCTCGTCGATGTGGTGGTTGCGGCATTGTTTGGAACTAAGATCAGCGAAGCACGGTTCGAAGTAATGCGCGAAGAATTGCTGCGCGAGTCGAAAAACTCGATCACGAAGGTTGCTGAGAAAGCAAAATATCTCCGGTTGCAGTTCTTGGAAAAGCACTCATTTCCTCTGGAAGCGTGTCTGGATTCGATGACGGTTGCCACAGTGGAGTCCATGAGAACCTTTGTCTCTGGTCAACTTTGGGCAGGCAAGACGGGGCTAGCCAGCTTTGTCCATGGAAACACATCGCATGCTGTCGCTTTGGAATTGATCGCCACGGTCGAGAAACAGCTGCAACAAGTATCTGCGCCTCTCCCTGTGCGTGATTTCCCCCGACGTCTCATCAGCAATATTCCACAGACGCCGGTGGGCTTTCTGTTGAAGGAGCGCAGCGAAAACAAATCCGAGACCAACACGCAGGTGGAGCTGTACTACCAGATCGGGCCACTGACCTTACGCAGTCTGGCTTACGCTGACTTGTTGCATCAGCTGATGGGAGAGCCACTATTTGATACCCTTCGTACCAAGCAGGAGCTAGGGTACGACATCTCGTGCACTGTTCGTGTGACGAACGGTATTTTGGGCTTCGGTGTGATGGTGCAGTCATCGCTGTTCGATGCCGAATACATATCTACGTGTGTTGACCAGTTCATGGTTGACTTTGAAGAGGCGATTGAAGCAATGGAGAACGAGCACTTTCAGGACCATGTTCAAGCGCAGGTTCTTTTGCGGCTCGAGCCCGATCATAACCTGCTCGAGGCGACACAACGCTACTGGTACGAAATCGCATCACGCCGACTTGTGTTCGACATGAATGCCCAGCTTGCAAAGGAGATGGAGACACTGACCCAGAGTGAGATGGCGCAACTTTTCCGCGAGTGGATCCTGCAACAACCCAAAAAGTTATGCGTCCACGTTATTGGCCGTGGTAGCACGGCCGAAAAAGCAGCCCGTCAAGAACACAAAGATGCCACTAAAAACGAGCTAGCGGAACTGCGTGCGCTGCCTCGACCCATTCGAATTCGCGACTTGTACCTGCTCAAGTCGGAGTTGTCGTCCTATCCTGACCCCATCGACGAGATCAACGCGATGGAAGCAGATGGTCTTGACAAGCGCCTCGCCTTGTAGAATGCGGTTGCGCTGACGTCCAACATTGAGGCAGCATACGTCACTCGGTCCGCATGGGCGTAAAAGCGCTAACTACACAGAAGCTACACGTGCATCATATATCTCGTAGACAGTCTTTGCATATTGGTCAATCCTGACGCGAAGGAGTTGCGCCCGTTGTCAGTTGTCCCCATCGTGAGTTGATCTGGACGAGGAGATGCAATCAGCTCCTTCCGTCGTCTCCTTGTTAAGCATGATTGCCAGATTTGTTGACTAGCTAGGACTTGTCACACAAGCTCATCTCAATATCGCACGACGCAGGCCGAGCACGTAAGACAGTATGCGAACGATGAGTTACACACAAACCGATCGCTATCCTTCGACTCGGGTCATACTTGCCACCGCTCAGAATCGACTGCATGTGTCATCGTCTCGTAGTTGCTTCCATTCACTCAACTTCCAAGCCCAGTCATAATGGCTTTTGTGAAACAAGGCTCGTTCTCGTCTAGCCTCAGGGTTGTCTTTGTGTCTGCGAAACACGACTTGTCGCTCGACTTGACGTCACTCGAGTCATTTCTCGCGGTCAACGAGCTCATCACTGTCGTTGGCTGCATCTCTGTGACGACGTCCTGCTACTCGAACAACTTCGGGACCATTATTCACAAACGACTGGAAACGTTGAAGTTGCAACTTCGGTCGGGTGCCTCTACACCCGTCGAGGTGAGACTTGTGCTTGCGAGATCAATGAACAGCTGTTGCTGATCGGGACCATCGCCAGCAGCTCAAGACGCTTATTGACGTGCTCGACAATTTGGGTTCAATACGTCGCGAGCCCTTTTAGCGTCAGGGCGGAATTTGCTATACTACATTGACGCGCAAATGTTTCGTCCATCTTGCACGCTCTCTTCTTGTCGTGATGGAGCGTGAAAGAAAGAGAGACATCTTGATTGCAACGAGCGAACGAGGTGATTTGGCAATGTGCGTCTCACCGAGCCCACCACGTCGCTGATTGTGTAAGTATGTCCACACAACTCGGCATTGAGATCGCCACGCTAACGAATCCAAAATGCTGCATCACCGAAACGATGACGAGGCATAAGGAAGGTCCGTTTTAACATCATGACGTCCGACGTCGCTGACTCGATCGTGCTCACGCGTTGTTTCTACGACCCATTACATGTCGAGATACGAGTCGAGCACGACTGTGCTACTGCTGCAATCTATCCGAAATGTGGCTCTCAGTAATCATCGAAACAGGGTATCTTCTGCACTTGTCCTACACGACTGCTCTCTCGTTGCTCGTTACGGGACTGTTGCATACTATCGAATGGCATTCCACCAGCGAACGACTCGCTCACTTGTCCCTTTCGACTCGCAAAGCCCGACGAGTCCACAAGGACGTAGTGCCTACGCTCGCTAGGACGGGGTTCAACGATGGCTACATACAGCCCACCTCGCCAAACTCGCTGATCGACTTTTGCTTGACAACTACAAACCGACGACGACGCTGGCGGTGGATCGTTTCTAATCGAAGACCTACGGTACTTCTCCACAAACCTCTTGGCTGCCTCACTCGCCGATTCGCTTTTGAATGCAAAAGTGACCGAGTCGCGTCTTTGCATTTGATCTGCGGCGGCCCACCACACACATTCTCTCTCTCTCTCGTAGACGCTTACGAGCAACAGAATCGACTGCACAGCATCTTCTGCCCCATCCGACTCAAGATGGACATTGACGCTGGCGCCGACGACTTTTTCGCAGCGCTGGACAATGGCGGAGGTGACGACGTCTTTGCTGGCTTTGGAGCTTCGGGGATCGCCTCAACGAGCACTAGCAACGGCCTTTCGCTGGACGATGAACCCCTCGTCACGGTCTGTTGGTACCCTCTGCTTCTTTCTCTCTTTCTTTTTTTCTGTCTTTCTCTCTCTCTCTTGCTGTGTCATCGATAGGTGCATACTGCGTTTCGAATCAATCGAAGAACACTGTCACTGAAGAACTCGGTATCTCTACCTCTTGTCTCGTTTGTCGTGTTCCCCTTTGCAGGTTGACAAGAAGAAGAAAAAGGCTGAAGCGGCCAAGAAAGCGGCAAGGAAAGACGCAGCAGCTCGTGTGGCGGCCGCCAAGGCTGCTCGACAAGCAGATGAGCCGGCTCTGCCCATGGAGGAGCGCATTGTGAATTTACTCGTGCCGGAGCTCAAAGTCGAAGATGTGATGCTGTTGATCCGAAAGATGAAGCAGGCGGGCAAGTCGGATGCCGACGAGTTCTCGGAGCTTGACGCTGAGCAGAAAACAGGTACCTGTCGGGCTGATGCACACGCTAGTGGTCATGCTTTTTGTATCAGAAACCAAAAAGAAATGACGCTGGCCGCTTGTGGCTGTTCGTATGTGGTGTGTCTCTAGCGCCACGGTTTCGATGCGAGACGTGCGGGAACACCGAGCAGAACAACTTCATTACCGACTACGCGCGTGGTGACACGATCTGTAATGGGATGGATGGCAATGGATGTGGTACGGTGGTACAAGACCACATCGTGCACGAAGGCAGCGCGTACCGTAAGTTTGAAGGTGAAGAGGACAAGTCGCACCATGGACCTGCGCCGAATAAGTTGTTCTCGACGGGACACAACTTGCGGACGCTGATTTCGCAGGTAATAATCGAACGACATGGCGTGAAGGGTGAAGAGAGTGCACCACATGTATTCATGCGTGCTGGTTTGATCTAGGATGGCGAAATGGCTGGCAATCTACGACGTGCTGCAGAATTTGTCGAGATGAACCTTAGTCAGATGGGCAAGGATGAACGGCGGACGCGTATTGGGTACAAGGACCAGGTACGATTTCGCGTCGCTCGTTACCCCTTGGGGTGTTGCGCCTAAAGCCTACTCACGTGGATGGCGTCGTTGTAGATGAAACAAAAAGCGTGTCGCCTGATTGATCACACGATGAGCAACTTGGACCTGCACGAGATCGTGAGCAGTCGCGCCAAGAAGATGTTTGCCGAGTTTCGTGACGTCCGTGAGCACGTGCACCAGTTTGACGCGATGGTGGCAGGCTGTGTCATTGCGGCTTACATGGAGACAAGTAAAGAGATGTACTCTGCACAGAATGCCATACGCATCGGTCAACACAAGCAGGCGGGCATCGCGAGTCTAGCGCTCTTGCCAAACAAGGCTGTGGACGAGAAGAAGCTGCATCCATTCACATGCTCGTTGTGTGATATGAAGTTCAACGCCCGCCGCGGTATGCAGTTTCACAAATGCGCGGGCAAAGCTGAGGAAGATCAAGAGAAGACGTCAAGTGGGGCCGACTTGACGCCCGTAGTGTTGCCAGAGCTTCTCCAGCCGATCATCGAAATGAAAAACGGCAAGCGGTGGTTCAAGTGTCCCGTGTGCTCTCGCGTGTATGGGAAAGAAGAGAACTTGACCGAGCATATGGTGCGGCACAAGAACCAGATCAAGAAGCGCAAGTACCACATCGAAACCAGCACGATTGACTCGACGCGCCTTGCCAAGACCACAAAGCTTGCGTCGGCCAATCCTTCGGTACAGGTCAATACGCACGAGCAAGTCATGTTCCGCGGTGAAGGTCGACGGATGTGGCTTCAGCACTTGACCGAGCAATGAACAATAGCCGTCAACCGTTAGCGCAGCTAGTTTGAGCTAGACAACCCGCTAGCATCCCCGCGTGGACCTAGCACCTTGTACAAGGAGGAAGCAAGACAGGGGCAACATGGTGCTGGCAGAGGTAGAGTAGATAGCTCTTCGAGACCTCTAGCGCACATCAGAACTTGCTATTGCGATTGTATTCCGTGCGTACACCCACCCACGCTCTCCTCTAAATCAAGTCCTGGCTCTTGGTCCCAAGGACATCGTTTGCCGTCAGTTCGAGCACGTTGTCCTCCGTCACAAAGCGGACCTTTTCGCCTTTTTGAGCCAACAAACTCTCGACGTCCGCGCTCTCGTCTTCGAACCAGCCCAAGCGATCGGCCACCAAGTGCAGATTCTCGCAGCCAGGACAGCGTACCAGTACCACGCCGTTATAGTAAGCGTGCTTGCTAATAGTTTTGGCCGAGCGCGTCTCGCAGACGCTGCAAGTGTAGACCATGACGAATTTGTCACCAGAGGTTTCAATGCCGGGCGCTCCTGACCAATCAGCGGCGGCGGAATCAGTCGAGCCGCTCATATTATTGGACGAAATAGCGACATCATGATGGTCGGCGGTGTTGGCATTGTCGGCGGTGGGTCTATGAGTCGCGAAGAAGCGGTTGTGGCTGCTGCAATACGACACTGACGCAGCGCGTAGTGATGTGGATGAAGAGGCAGAGCGACGGACGTGGTACGAGAGCGAGTGGACGGCGGCGCGAGACGGTCGCAGTGCAGCTGCGCGGTGAAGCGCTCGAGGCCACATGTTTCTCAGTGGATGCAAAGGGGACGTGTGACTCCGACTCAGAAATTGTGGGTCGAGGAAGTTTACGGTTTTGAGCCGCTTCTCAGACGTTTAGGCCGTTCAAAAGTTAGTCCCGAAGAAGAAAATAAACTGTGTGAAGTGTGACGTGGTGCATCTCGACCGGCGCTTTCAGAGATGTACCCATATTCCTTCCGTCCCGTAGCTTCTCCTGCACTTTGTCACACTTGTGGGTGGGAAAAAAGTCGATCTTCACGTCGCTCCAGTTGGTACAACATACAGGAGCAGCGATGCCGATCACCTTTTGGTTTAACAAGTTTTGACGTCAGGGACTTGACACTTTGCACGTAAAGTCTGTCTGGCGGCTTTGTTTTAGTACCGTGAACAGGAAGTCAAACGAACGTGAACTCAAACAGCTCAAGTATGGCAGACGCATCGCGGACGGCAACCGCCAAGAGTGCACTGCTCACTTCCAATCAACAGGTTACTGAGGCGATTTGGTACAACTGATCGTATAAAGCGTGGTGGTGGACTCTGCCTGCGCAACGTATCGCTCTATCAAGTCAATTGCAATTACCTCAATACCTGACATGGCTGACCGATTTTTGCATGCGGCGAGACCATAGGCTGTGTGCGCAGCGTGTGTTGCGAGTTACGGAGGAGGAATAGGCGCAGACGAATTGCAGCAAACGCTTGGTCGTAGAAAGAAAACCAGACTTTTCCTGAGACGTTGACAAAAACGCGCCAGCAATATATTTTCGCATACTTGTCAAGAGGTACTGCCCCACCGGAGGTGACCGCGGCACAAGTGGAAATGAAACCACCCGCCACGGGTGACCTATACGACAGGCACAGCCATGGGTGCTGCGAGTCATCCTTGCCGGATGATCCAACAGAAGCGTGCATATACATGCATAACGTCTTCTTGCTCTTGACTTCAACGTAGGCGCAGGCTTTGTCAGACATGATACAGACCTGCACGTAGCACCAGAATAGTTCGGGATGCAAATGCACACAGACATCACTAGGCGGAAGTCCCAAAACATGCTGTTCCATCACGGGTTAGATTGTCTAACTGCCGCGCCCTGACTCCGTTCCAACTAGTCGCTGGTGGTGCGGACTCGGAGGTGAACGGCAGGTCCATCACACAATTGGTAGTTTCACCCTTTAATCCATCTGAAGAAGCAGCTCCTTCTCGTCCAAAGCCCTCTTCGTGCTGATGTCACATATGTAGACCTTCGACTTGCGTTTGATATCAATCTTGGCCAGCTTCGACGGAGGCAAGTCATTCACTGAGGCCTCCACGAACCCCCGCTCGATAAACCAGTGCGATGTTCGGGTCGTCAGTACAAACAGTTTGGTGACACCCATGGCTGCCGCTTTGCGCATGACGTAGCCCAGCATAGCATTGCCTTTACCCAAGCTGCGGTAGGCCGGGTCTACAGCTACACAGCCCATCTCAGCAAAGTTATTCTCATACGGCTGCAGTGTGCAGCAAGCAATGATAGCACCGTCTCGCTCTACAACCGTAAACGTATCCACATTGCTTTCGATATGTTCCTGATCGCGCGACACCAGTACGTCGTCGTCCAACAAAGGCTGGATGAGGCGCATGATGCTCACAATATCATTCGTAGTGGCCATACGAATTCCTTCGTACATGTGCCGACTGATCATGATTCCTTCTCCATCACGAGTGAAAAGCTCCTGCAGCAGGCCACCATCCACATGTCGACTCACAAGATGCGACCGCTTGACTCCGTTCACGCAAGCCTTGATCGACTCTTTCAAGTACAGCAAAAACTCACCGCAGACGCTTGGATCCTTTCGTGCAAGATCAACATACTGCTGTGCCTGTTCAATCGCAAGTGTCTGCACCACTGCATTCGACCGCGAGTCCTGGAGCTCCTCTCCATTGTACATATAGATGAGCTTTGAGCTCTCGAGCTGAATCGCACACTTGCTGGCCACCTGCTCGGACAGGCAGTTGAAGACCTCACCACTAGCACTGTAGGCGATGCAGGATATCAGGACAATGTCCCCGTCGTCCAACGCCGCGCGCACCTTGTCGACATTGAGTCGACGCATTTCTCCCGTGTACTTGTAGTCGACGCCGCCTCGAACGCCCACTGGCTGTGCAGAAATAAAGTTCCCCGACGAGATCGTAATCGTTCGTGTTCGTCCGGGGGAATTGACAATCCCTCGTCCCAAGTAGCTTTCAATATGGAACCGCACCGACCCGGCTGCATCGAGCGCGCACTCGAGCTCCACGCGCCCCGTAATGCGCAGTCCACAATCAAACGTGGATGCAATGTTCCGAAGCGACAGCTGGCGATTCAATTGCGGCCGCGAGCCCGCCACGAGCACGAGCTTCACGCCCAATGTATTGAGCAGCGCAATGTCGTGCATCACCGCCCCAAAGAGCGCAGACTCAATCAGCTCCCCAGGTACATGGATGACCATGGTCGAGCCCCTGTGCAAATTAATATACGGCGACATGTCGCGGAACATGGCCGTGAACGACGGGACACGGGCGTCCACGTCGCGCGTCGTCTGCTGCACGCGGAGACACGCGGGCGGCACGACCGGCAGACAGCTCGAGGTCGTCACGCGGTCTTCGGCTCGCGACGTGGAGACGCTCCTGCTCGACACGAACGTGCGGCGACCGTTTGTGCCGCTCAGTGCCACACGCGGCGAACATGAGGTCCGGACCGGCGCGCAGCTGCTGGACAAAGACGCGCGTAGACGGTCGAGAAGCGGCCGAGTCGACGCGGAGACGAGCCATGCGCGGGACGAGAACATGCTGCGGGGTACGGTGCCTGCAAGTCGGAGCTACGTCCGTGTCGATGTCGGCCGAGAGCGAGCGGAAGAGCGAGTGGCGGGCGCCCGCATCGCTGCGAGCTGCTCAATGGCTGGCAAGTGGGCGGTGGGGCCAACCCCGAACGAGGTGGTGGTGGTGGGCGCGCGATCTAACGCAGCAACGCAGGAACATGCAGCAGCGTAGGCGGCTGGCCACCGCTGGCACGTCCGCGAAATATGCGCTAGACTAGGTTTATGCTGGCATTGAGGTGGACGAGCTTGTTGCGGAACGGACCACTGCCGCGAGAGACTTTTGGATCCCGGAAATAGCGTCAGACGTGACGTTGTACCACTGGCGTGAGCAGCTCTTTTGATTGGGTCCGCTTCTCCCACTGGCTCTCAAGCGACTCGATGTCGACTGGACGGACGCAATTCATTCGCGCTCGCGACTCGACTTATGGCTCGTGTCTCGCCCACCTGTAAGCCCTCTCCGTGCTCGCCTGGCACCTGCACCTGCACCTGCACGCGATCTTTCTCCACCCGTCCGGTCGTCGCTCACGCGCTGCTCTCGTTCTCTGATTGTGTCTTTGTTGCTGCAGTCGCCGAGCTCCAGAGCCTTTCGGCCGCTTGTAACAAACTCTGGGCGCTGGACACGAATCGTCTGGAGCCGAATGTTCACTATGAGCTGAACGTGCAGGAAGGAAAGAATGCATTTGTACGTGGAGACGTTGCACGCGAGGCGCTGTTTGCGTTTGTGCACCCGAGCGTGTTTGAGCGCCCCACGTTCAAGCTGCTGTTTGAGCTACTGGACAATTACGAGCGCGAGGTACACGACGAGCGATTGATTGGTGTTCATGTTACCGCGCTCAAGCGGTAGCTTTTGTCGTTATTGCTGGTGGTAGTGCTCGTGCTGGTACTCGCCCTCTGACGTTTTTGTGGTGGTGGTGGTGGTGGCTGTGTGATATTTTGGGATCAGACGGGAATAAGTGAGAGAGTGACGCCCAGGGAACTAGCAGAGAACAATGCGTTCCTCAACGCTGTGATTGAGACGACGCCCATGCGCTATGCTCATGCGTAGGTCAATTGTCTCTTGTGTGCACTACGACGTGTTGAATGTGCTTGAGCTCCGTGACTGACTTGTCGGTATCACAGGTGGCTGGTGAAAAATAAGAAATTCACGGGAGATCTGAGCGATTTTAAGAAGAAGCTGGAGTTTCTCTGGTTTGGACTGTATCGACGAGAAGTGCGCAACGACTCGTCGGGCTTCGAGCATGTCTTTGTCGGGGAGCTGAAGAACGTGAGTCTGCACATGAAATTGTGCTACGTAGGCTCTGTCGTTGCTCATTTGTGGCGTACTGTTGAAATGTAGGGTAAGATTTGTGGTTGCCACAATTGGCTGCAGGTGTACAATGAAGAGCGTCATGGCCGCATCGACTACATGGGCTACATCCGTCCTCGACAACGCGGCTGTCGATTTATGGAGCCGCACAGTAAGGAGCAGCTGATTACCTTCCAGTTCCAGTGGGAAGACAACATGAAGCCAGTGTCGACAAGGTGCCCTGCCGACGGGTCGTTTTGCGCTAGCAATTTGCTGACACCGTATGTGTAATTGATGGTTCCTCTTCCAGTTTGATCGGAGTAAGTCCAGAATTCGAAATGGCCTTGTACACTTTGTGTTTCCTCAACGGCCAAGAGAACAATCAGGTGCAACTCGGTCCGTACCTGTGCAATATCAAGTGCTTTAGCTTTGGCCGTGGCAAGGACACCAGGATTGGCACGGCCTTCCCCGAAGCACTGCCGCTAACAGAAGCGCAAGCTGCAACAAAGATTCAGGCTATCATGCGTGGTAGCCGCACGCGCATTCTGAACCCAAACGTTCGTCGTCAGGCACCACCTCCTCCTCTCGGCGCAGCCTGGGGCCCGCCACCTGGAGTGGTAGCCACATCGATCGTGCAGGTTAAGGTTTACTCAGCTACAACCGTATCGGTGGATTCTTGTATCCATCCTGGTGCTGCGGCGCCAGCTGGTACGAAGCCCACCGGCGCTTGGGCCCAGCCACGCAAATGGTAATTTGCTGTTGCTCGTGCGGGTAAGCAGGGCACATGTCGGCGTCGTTGCTCGCAGTATTGCTTGCCAGTGTCGTGTACATAATGAACTTGGCCTAGTTCGTCCTGGTCTTATCGATCCGTTTTGCGCTCCTTTTGCAGGTGAAGTGACCGAGTTGGGAAGATCTGAAGAGACCGCGTCAGCTTGATGTGGTATATCTTGATGCTGGGTTGAAAGAGAAAGCTGTGAAACCTCGACGTAGTTCAGGCTTTTGCGGCAGTGAGGGTCAGAGGCAATGACAACTGTGCGTAGAATACGCTTGCACACCCATTGAAGACAAGACAATGCGATGAGTATTTGCATCGCTTAATGCTCCAGTTCCAGAACCTGTAGCAGAGAAAAGCGGGCGTACGTTGTCTGGTCTTGCAAAACCAAGCCCGCGGAGCTTCCTCCCGTTGCGGCGATTAGTTCTGTAGCGATGGAATCGTTGTCGGGATGTCAGCATCAGGCCCATCGGCCGTCGGTGGTCGTGTGTGAGCCCTATAGAAACAGCAGGCGTCGCGTCGGTACGTCGGCGAGAAGAAGTCTACACCTTTGACGTTGCGGTGCAGTGTCGCTGTGGATTCTTGATGGAGGTATGAATTGCCGATGAATGGTATTGGAGCAAGCGTACCGAACGTGCCGGGTGAAGGTTGCGGCAGAGCATCTGTGGTTGGACGGATGGAGGCCTTTTTGTCGTTGCAATGCAGTGGCCAGGAGCGGTTGTCGACGTGGACGTCGTGGTAACGGTACTTACGTATATGGGCAGTGGCATTCTGCTAGCGCACGTTTTCAGTCGCGCCTCCAGCTGATACGTGAAGACCAGAGCAGCCGATGCATAACATGCGCTACCCAAATATATTGGCCCATCTCTTGAGGCCTTCACTTTTGGACATGCTGCAACATCTGGTTGTTGCGACTTGGAGAAGGATATGCTGCGGCTGGCCTCGAAGGTTGTGAAAGTCCATCGGAGTAATTGGACGTGCAGCGCAATGCAGTGTGCCTTTCTCGACCGAGGGACTCTACGTGGTACAGCACTAGTAGACAACTTACATGCTGGATGTATTTCGGTGACTCTGACTCCAGTGGACAAGCATGTCAACAGGGAAGCGAAGACCGGCTGGTCCAAAAGTCCTAATGAATGCCGCTCGAATGCCTCGATGCAGGAATGCACATTGACAAGACCCGGGCTTTGTCCGCGCAAATGTATGAAGCCTGGTACAGAAAGCCTATGTAGCTTGTGTGCCTGATGTCAAGACGCGGCATCCGTTTCCGCTCGCAAGTTAAGAATCGGACTGAAAACGTGCCCGCCGTCCAGGAAAAACGATGTCTCGGACAGAGTATCTTGTGTATGAAGAATATCTCAGACTGGTCTAGTATCAGGAGCAAGAGGTAGTGATGGATGCTGGCGAGAAACGGCAACGTTGGCCGAGTGCACCGCCGACCGGGTTGGCGTTGCTCAGGCGAGTGGACCTGACTTGGCAGAGCTTGAGCGCTTTATAGCTCACAACTTGCTGGCAGCGTCAAGGGAAATATTTCTGCAAAGGACGACGAGGCAGCTGTAACTAAGACTTTACATCAGTGCTGTTGTGGTACCATCCAGACAATCTTTCTGATCCTGGCTTGTGCACACGAGACAAGGCCGAACGGTTCTTGTAAATCTTTGGACAGCATTTTGGCGAAGCAAAGCGTACTCGAATCACCGCACCTCTAGCCCCTGGACACGCATCTAGCTTCATTCTTTAGCCACGTTGAGCCAGTCGGGTACACAGGTACCTTTGGAGCTGCTGTATTCATCCGACGAAATTGCCGATGCACGTGCAATGTCTGTGGCAGCATACACTGACCCTCCGACCCACGCAAGCATGTTGCGAGGGAAAAACGTCCGAACGAGCTGCACTTGGTCAATGGTGACTGCAGCTGAAGTGGATTCGTTGTCAAAACGTAGCGCCTTACGTACTTCTGCGATCAAACGCTGGGCCAAACCTGGCAGATCAATTGAATGAGCGTTAGCAGCGAATGCAATGTACTCGTTGCGTTTGCCTTACCAGGAATCATCGCGGTTCCCCCGACAAAAAGCATATTCGCCAATAGCGCTGCCCTCACGTCAAGCGGAGCCTCCTTTACAGTCTGCACGATTCCGTCAACTATCGACATCCCATCCCTGTCTTCGTCGCCTGACCAACCCAGAACATAGAGAACGTCACGCAGGTGTTTCACCTTGTGACAACGTATGGTAAGGACAATACCCAAAACAAGCTGTTCCACAGCACCGGTGCGCAAGCTCCCAGAAACCTATCCAGCAAACGATAGCATTGGCTCCTCAGACCCGGTTTTCAGCCAAATGTGAATGACCCGCCCACCAACCTGTAGCACGTTGTTGTCTCCGTACTGAAACATGGCGTCGACGACATTTTGCAACAACCCGTCCTTCACACGAAGCGTATCCGCAAATATCAAGCTTAGTATAATCTGAAGTTGCTTCCGATAGTGTTGTGGTGGCAAATATAAACCATTTGTTGCACGAAGCACGCTCGTTCGAGAATATCTTCTACTGCAACTTGAGCCAATGGCAGGTTAGAGTCAAAGCTTTTCTCCGTGGACTGACTCAAAAAGGTGGTCACTCCTCGTTGAATAGCATCGCAGCAGTTTTGGCTTCCAATAGGCACAGCTATGCATTTGCAACAGCCACCACAGGTTGTGTTAGATACTACCGATACCCTCTCTTCCAACACGCACGTCTCCGACTTACACTTATAAAGGTGCAAAAGTGGAATGCCCTTGAACACTGGCAGCATCCGCGTCTCCGACCATCCACAATCTACCACTAGCGCCGTGTGATTGGCCGTAGTATGCAGCACTGCCAACATCGATGGCACTAGCGTCACTGAAGAGACCTTCGAGGCAGCAGGAAAAACATGGATTTCTCAGTCGCTATGACTTTGTAGTCAGTCGATAAACACACTCATGACCTGAAGCATATCAAAGAGCACACTGAGCAACGTCTCGCGAACCACTCGTGGCATCAAAAGGTCTTCACACACTACAAAACGCCGTCGCGTTGGGTTCACGAGCAACAAACTGTAGCGACGTCAGCTCCCAACCAGCCGCGACCACATTAAGCATATCGAGCTTCAAACATCGAGCTTGGACCACCAATCTATACGCACTCAAAGCAGACCGCATGCAGCTTCAAGTACAGAAACTGTCGCCACTTGGCAGCGCTAGAAGGCGTCTGTAGCATTTCGGCCATCTGAACCGTCCATACATGACCAGACATCCACCATAGTCAAGTCAAGTCAAGCCAGTGCACATCCACAGCATGGACTTACCTCCCAACGCTCGACACAGCGGGGCGCACGCTCGCCAGAGATGCCGCATCGGACGTAGCGCGCTCCGAGTTCCAGCACGAGCGGGTCAAGTGAGCTGTTCATTTTGCTATTCCCGCTCTCGAGTGACTCGGAGCAACATTAACGTCCTGAGTGACGCTTTGGTACCCACTGAACTGTACACAGACACTAGTTAGAAACGAATCAGAAAGCGTATGAACACAGCTTATCGGCAAGTGAGCAGAAAAGGGTACAGAAAATGAGACCTAAAAATAAGCGAGGGTAGATATCACCAACTGACTACACCTATAAAATACCCCAAGATAAGAAAAGCATAGCAAACGATCCAATTCGTTCAATCGAAACCAACGATGTACACGACTGTAAAGACAAACCCATTTTGAATCACATGAAACGATATTGCGTTTGTTGCTGTTTGTTTCTTCAAACTTCCAAACAAGGTTAGAAATAGGAGATTTATAGGTACATTCACCCTTTGATGCGTACACAAACCCCATAAATAGAGGCCCTCCCTAAGTACCTTCATCTCCCTAACTAGGTACTCTATAGTGATACATACAAAATGCCATATAACATTCTATGCTACGTACACAGCCCTCCGTATTACAGGCCTCTTTTTGTGTCAGCACACAGCCTTGCGTGTGAAATCTGCTCTCATTATCCGGTAAACAGAGGGTATGCCCGTAATACCACATTGCCCCTTTTTTTAAAAATAATTCCAATTTTTGATTCAAGTATTGAGCATACCTCTTACTGGTTATGCAAAATTAACTGTCAATGGAGGACATAAACACACCAAGTCAAACTGTCGAAAGTAATCATTTGCCACAATTTATGACGTAAATGCAAAAGAAACAAAGATGTCGCTTTCTGTATTAAACAGTACTAATATCTTTGATCAGGTGAACAGTTTAGGAAATGAAGAAAGTATGGCCAATGACATTTATATCATAACGCTCGCCAGACGCGTTTCGGCCGCCCGCCGGGGGCCTCATCAGTGGCTTTGTTAATCTAGAAGTGGGATCTTTCTCTATCCTGCGCTCAACGACTAAGAACCTTCTAGAATTGAGTGTACCCACACAAATCATACACCATAACTACCACGCCTGGCAGCTGGGGCGTCGACCCGGAAGGGATTACCCGCTATGACATCTCCACTTCCAACAAACAGTGTGACATGCGCTATCAAAATATTGAAAGAATCAATAGACTATGCTCGCAACGCTTGCAGAGGCTGTCTACGCGTCGCAGGTGGGCGCAGAACGGATAATACATTCTCATGCGATAAAAAAGGTAACACCTTATCAAGAAGTCGCTCTAAAAGGTGCCGCTCGGGTGACGTGGTGTAGAGAAATGCCAAACGAGGTATTCCAAATTCTTGACTTGATTATACGAGGGGTGAACCCGACGAGAGAAACCGAAGTGCGTCGACGTCGGCCAACCATAGCTCGACAATGGGGTAACTCGACGAGTGAAGCCTTGACGAGTGAAAACTCGGCGAGAGAAGACTCGACGAGTGGGGATTCAACAAGTAAGACTCTACGGTTCAAGATTCGAAAAGTCAGGACTCGACAAGTCAAGACTCGACGAGTGATAACTCGTCGAGAGAAGTCTCGATGAGAGAATATTCGACAAGTCAAAACTCGACGAGAGAGGACTCGACAAGTCAAGAATCGACGAGTGATAACTCGACGAGAGAAGTCTCGATGAGAGAAGATTCGACAAGTCAATATATGACAAGTCTAGACTCGACGAGTGGAGGCTCGACGAGAGAAGGTTTGAAGAGAGAGCGAGATGATGAACGGTCCACCACACTATGTATCAGTATAGGATTATGAGGGAAACGACGGAGAACCACTCAAGAGTCCTTTTGAGATCAGGGAGAGAATATGAGGTAATTAATACAGTGCAGAATTTTCTAAGTCCAAGACACGCGTACATCCACGATTTCTGCGTGGGCTAGATTATGCCTGCCGTCGAGCCTCGAGAGTCATAGCTTGTAGAGGTATCGGCTGGTAGAGCCAAGAGTTTAGGAAGGCCCGGGTTTAGTAACGCTCGCTACTAGCGAAAGAAGGAGTCTCGTCGTCTACGAGACGGTAAACCTAGTGAAGGGACCGTTGTTAGGCTTGTCAGGTGATAAATCGGTGACCCAATAGACGGCACCGTTGAAAGTCTTGTCGAACGACAAGCTGGTGGGCCTCAGCCGAGGGCACCGCAAATCTTCTAGTCGGGAGTACACTGCGCCCAGTGACCTGTCAAAACGCGTAAGCGTCGGCTTCTATCCTTTGGTGTGAAGTCACAGGAAGAGAGAGGTTTAGAGACTGCTGAGCTCAGGCAGGCCTCTGGAGGAATTGGTTGTAAAGAATCGGTTAGGCGAGAGCCACAACTGAACCCCGAAGGGACGAACCGCGTAGAGATTTATCCAAGCGTACCAGCCCGTGTCGCCGACTTAATTCGGCTATGGTTGAGGTTGTACGTTAAGACTGGTGTACTACATAATTATCTAACTATTATACCACAACTTGTGCCGCGACCCGGAAATATAGGGTGTGCAATTGTTTAGCAGGTATCAAGCAACCAACTACGAGCTAAATTGTCATCCATTCAAAACTGGCGAGCGGCGGGATCTCAGCGAATACTAGAAGATCGTCGCGCGCGGATTCGATCCAAGCGTCCATGAACGACACCGAAGTGAAAGTGATGGTGGGATGGGAGCCTGGGATCGACGAGCTCAAAGAATACGACCGTGGGGAGGAGGAAAAAGATGAAAGTGACGAGTACAACAGCGGAGGAGTACTCGTAGAAGATAAATAAAATAGTGTGCTACACGCGGGGCATGTGAGTTGTGTACATGCCATGGAGAAGAAACACGCGCAAGCAGTGAGGGACTTCGTGCAAGCTGAGCAAGGAAAAGGAGATGACGACAAACTGAGGTTGGGCATAGAAGAGTTGTAATCGGCCATCTTCAGGACCCCGAAAGGGATCTCTACTCCGCAGGCGAACCAGATCCTTCATCAAATTGCTGAGGAGATGAAAAGAGCAAGTGGATCTAGCAGTTCGACATCGAACGATCTACTCAGGCGAAATGGCCGAACCTCAGCACCATTTTGAACATGACTTGCAACGTTTTGAGCATTGGAGCACTATCGGCTTACACGATCTACCTCTTGCGCGCGATGGGATACGAGTGCAAAGAAACGCAGGATCCCAAGCTGGCTGATGCAATCTTTAACCAACGGGTGGTAGACAAAGATATGAAGGGTTGGAGAGCCAAGCTCAAGGACGCATTTGGAATTGATGCGATTCCAAGCGTCAACATGACGATGGAGAAGCTACACGGAGACGTATTTTCGATGGAAGAGGAGGCACCAATACCATCGCATTATGAGTCAAAGGCGAGACCCAGCGATACTTAAGCGGGGACGAATGCTCAAAGGGATGAGCAGGATGAAGCGGAGACGTAGGTGTTTTCTCGGGTGGAGAGATCACCGTACGTGGCGGATGTCCACATGGAAACACCAAGTTCATCCGTCCCAGCGAGAGGGAAATGTTCTCTTGTGAGAGAAGAATGTTGACGAGGACGAGGATGACGATGACGAGGATTGGAATGTCCAACAACGCAGAAGTAATACGACGAACCACTGCAATCTTCGTTTGAGCTTTGAAGAGTCGGTGAGTGAACGAGGACAAGTAATCGATATACGGACTCATGCCCCGTTGAATAATATCGCCAAGTTCGAGGAAAGGCAATATCGTTCCGACGAAGCTCCCGAGTGGATCAAAACGTTCACTTATGAGAATAAAAGAACGTGCAAACATTAGAACGACTGGCGTGAGCCATTTTCGTTGAGTCTGAGGAAGGCTGCCAAGAGTTGGTACCGACAGTTGTCGAAGAAAACGCAACGGACATGGAAGTTACTTAGAAAGGCGTTTTTGAAGTACTACTGTTCACAGTACGATCAATCGTCAAGGCCCAAGTACTACTCGGCAAAGCTTTAGGAATCTGAACATGTGCGCGACTTCCTCCTCTGTTTGAACGGATAGGGGCTAACAGCGCAGATTCAATACGAGAAGGGTGGAGTGGAGTCTGAAGATCATGCGGAACATTTCTTGCTCAACTGTGGAGACGACGACTTGATGGATTTCATCTACCCGCAACAAGTGGGAGATGTACACCGAGTGGAACAGATCATCAGTCATCGACTGCTAGGCAAAAAGCGTAAGCAGCAACGAGACCGAATGAGCCGTATCCGACTGTCCTACTCACACAGGTACGAGTCCCGGATCAATCGCCGCATAGACGGTCGAAACTACAGTACGCGTCCATCAGAGGGTCGACGTGATAATAGACGTGATGGTCACCAATTCGATCACCGAGAGAGACATGACGAATCCCGACTCGTCAGCAGAGACAGACAACCTCGGCGCGAAGGCCTGACAGGGCGATACGAGCACGATAGTAGCCGTCGTATCACCCTTTCATCAGCGACTACGGACGATTTGCGGGCTGCGGGGTGTGGAAGAATTGAGACTGAGACAACACGCTGATCAGTACGAGTCACAGAATGAAGAAAATGACTACGAATAACCGAAGGACTACGAGTCGGATCCTGACACCGATTACATGGAGGCAGGCATAAAATTGAATAGGGTGACGATACCTACAGAATGCAGTGAGCGGGTACGACCTGTACCTAACACTATGGGTCGGGCGGGTGTACCAGCTAAGTATGAAACGCGATCTAATCAACGTGACCAAGTAAACTAGCGTCATCGGCGAGGCCTTTCGAGAGAACGCCTTAAATGGGGTCCTTGTCTTGCGTGTGGTGCAGAAGGAAATGACACTCACTTTTGCAGACGCCATTGCAAATTCTGCAAAGAAGTGCATGACGTCGTCAAGGGTAAACGGTTCACGGAGTTTGAACGACTCACCAAGTTCGTCAAGTCATCGATAGATCGAACAACGGTACCCGAAGAACTCCAACACATCTATTCGCCAGGGCATTTAAAATAGGAGGCCCGCCGACTTTGAATGGGTCGGGAAACAACGGGATGCCACAGTCACAGTGGAATCAAAAGTCGAC